TAAATTTATTAAATTTTCTCTAGTCAAAATAAAATATTAAAAAATTAAAATTGGCCAGGAACCTATAAAGCACAAATGTTGGCTTGTCTCCACTCCTCAAATATCAATGAAAGCTGAGGTCTGAGTATAGTATATTATCTTTCAAGGATAGAGGCCTTGCTTTCTTTAACTCAGGCTTAATTGATTGTGATTTAGCACCCCTAATATGGGGAACCCTTTCCAAGAACAGATGTCTAAGACCAGATCATCTTATTCTCTGGACCTTAAGACCATTTCTTAACCAGCTTTCAAATCTTATAAAAAAGGAGACATACACCAATGCTTAAATGGCTTCCAGAAGTTATAGTCATCCATCTTTATTGGAAGAACTGGTTAAAATGGAACAAGAGTCTCATTTGTGTTTTTATGCTACCCACAGATTTTGCAATAACCCCAGGCTTTAAGTTATGATTTTCAAAATTCTCTCCTTTTTTTGTGGATTTTGTTCACAGGATAATGTTATCCTGCTGAATAGAATTTGTCTTTTCCTCAAAAAAAAAGAATTTTGAAAGAAAAGGGACCATATTAAAATAAGAAAGCAAGATGATATTTAATATTTACTTGGCTTTCCCATTTGAATTTCCAAAATGGATAATATCCACATCCCATATTGTCTTTAACTGGAATCCCCAAATTTAAATCTAAATTCAAATTCAGCGATGTACCTATAGATTATCATTATTCTCTGTAAAATATACATTTAAATATGTTTTCCCTTTTATATCCTTTATAATTAGGAGTAGGCAATTGAGTAAATATGATAAAAGAAAATAGATAAGAAGCATTAGTGACTCAGAATATACTTATGTGGTCAAGAAACATTCAAATGCCCTGAGAGAGTAACTTTAGATGCAAAGCTGGAGAATTAGAACCAGTACTTCTAAGATTCTGTGTTCCCACTGAGGAAATTTGAAGGATAAAAATAAAAACATGTTTACTGAACTCCTACTAATTAACAATAAGGAATATTCAGAGATATGTGCCATGGAAGTGGAACAGGGTACAGATTTGACTCTAGTTATATGCAGATCTATCTTACTAAACAGTTCACAATCTAGTCTGGGAGAATCTAGTGGGAGGCACTCAGTAAACTCTCAATAAATCCTTGCTATTAATATGATTATCCTGACAGCAACCAAGTAGAGTAAAGGGTAGGTCTCCTATTAATATACCCATTTTACAGAAGAAGAAACTAAAAATATTTTTTTAAATTTTTCACTACACAGGTGGAATCAGAATAGAAATTAGAGTAACCCCTCCGAAAGCCTCCCAAGGATCAGTTCATGACTTTAGAATTTTAGATGAATATCTACTCCTACTATGTACAGATTCCTGGGAAATTTGACCAGCCAAAGCTACCATTTGGGATGACAGTCATAAGTACCTTAAACAGCCAACCCACCTATATATTTAGTTTTCTGCTGGAAACATGGAAATTAATACAACTAAAATAAAAAACAGCATCATTTACTTATGCGAAAAGTCATCTGTTGGGCAAAGTGTGTGTTGACTTCTTTTAAAGGTAGAATTTCTTAATTTCTTTGTTTTCTATTCCTTTTTATCCATATTTTGCCATTGGTATGAACATTATATGTGTCCAGACAAGAGAGGAGAAAAGGAGAGATGGTGGAGCCACCAGAAATTGTTGCTGGGTCCCTGAAGATCCATAGAGTTGAGCCTGTAGTGTTCCTTATAACCAACTTCTGTCATCCTCATGGATTCGCACAGACTCACCAGGGCAGAAGATGAGGGAGAGGCTGGGAAGAGACCCTTAGCGGAGTTCTTTCATGTGCGACATGTCTGTGGTCATGTTTGTTAAAGGCCAAATCAGCACTTTAGACCAAGTCTGACTATCAATCCACTCCTTTTGTAGGGAACTTGATCAGATTTCTTTCCTCTCTTAGGTACTCTTCTTGTCTTATTCTGAATTCTCTACCATCTAGAACTGAAGACTAAGCTGGAGCTAACAAGTAACTTTACCTAGGTTAGATAAGCCTACTTTAATTTTGTCAACATTTTCCTCTCCTATTGCAAGTAATTTATGTCATGACCAGCAAGGACAGACCAGAAAGAGAGAAAGAAATCATTGTTCTTACATCAAATGAATGCAGAAGGCTTATAATGTTTTTCAAACAGTGTTTTAAAGCTGTCAAGCATAGTTAGGATGTAACAAGTGTTAACTTTTCTAATAGAAGTTTGAGTAATTCCAGCTGTCATTTGGGGTGGGGAAGCGGTTGGACAAGACTTAATAGTGAAAAAAATTTCTCACGTTATTTCTGAACATAAATCCTCAATAGTTGTGCTATATTTTGTGTTGAAGATGTTCTATTCATTGGAGTTTTAAGGTCATTAGGGGCAGAAACAATGTCACCCACTTCATGTTTTGGGCATGTAGGGAGTTCTCAGTGAACAATTGTTCATTGGTTGAATCCATAATAAAAGGAAATAGGAACAACAAGAAAAAAATTAAATATATACTCAGATATACTTTTTGACCCATTGCCAACATCATGTTAGTCATCAGTCTTCTATTTGATTTTTTGGGAAGAACTAGTGTGTTGTTTCCCACAAGCACGTCACATTCCTATCACAACAAAGTGTCAGCAACAGTATTAGTGGCAGTGACTATCATTTATAGAGTGCATTCAATATAACAAGAACTTGAAAACATTTTGTCGAATCTTCACATTAGCATGCAATGTAGAAATTATTTTCTTTTTTTATTGCTGAGTAAACACATAAAATTAACTAACTTGCAAGGTCACACAGCTAGAGAAGCTGTGCTGTGTCATATTTAGGCACATGGACTATAGCATCATACAGTCCTTTATTCAAGATCCAGCTCCTCCAATCTCTATTGCAAGTTGCTTCACCTCTCTAAACTTTTGTTTCCTTGATTACATAGTGATGGTTAGAATTGTATCTTCCCCATTGGATTGTTGAAGATTGAGTGAGAGACTTAATGCAAAGACCTTTGCAAAGTGTTTGGGACATATTGGGTACACACACACACATACGCTCACACGCAAGCTAACACCAAAGCCTGTGTGTCCAATCACGATGGTTCTCAGAAATTTGTCTTCCCCAAAAGTACTAAACTCTCTCTTCATTTCTATGTTTTTGCTAATTTATCTGCCTTTCACCATCCAACTAATATTTCATTTCTCGAATCACAATATGAGCAGAGATAATTATGTTCTTATTCATCCCTCAAGCCTAAGAGTAGCTTCTTCAAAAATCATCCGTGCATCCGAAAGCTAAGCTACGTCCCCATAGAATCCAAGATATTATTCTCTCAAATACTTATTTTGTGACATTACTTTCTCAAATACTTATTTTTTTACTTATTGTGTATTGTATATGTGCCTACCTATCTGTACCCACCAATAGATTGTGAGATCTCAAAGACAAGAACTATGTTCTTTTACTCAGTATCCCTCAACACCCAACACAAGACCTGAGCCATGGAACACAGTCAAGCAGTATTGGAAGGGTGGATGAATCGAGGCAGGGATGCATGGAAGAAACGGCTGAGCTACCAATACTGCTATCCACATGGATATTCCAAATCAGAGTGAGCAGGCACTGAATAAAAAGGAGAACCAGGGATTCAAGAAACATGTTCCAGAGCTCCATTTATCTAGGTTCCCTCCCTTGGGGCAAAGTTCAAACTTAAAAGTCAAATGCTGCAGACGGCAATACGTAAGTATAAAGAATTCACAGGGCCGACCCCATGGCCAAGTGGATAAGTTCACGCACTCTACTTCGGCAGCCCAGGGTTTCACCAGTTTGGATCCTGGGCATGGACCCAGCACCACTCATCAGGCCATGCTGAGGCAGCATCCCATATAGCACAACCAGAAAGACCTACAACTAGAATGTCCAACTATGTACTGGGGGTCTTTGGGGGGAAGAAGAAGAAGAAAAAAGAGAAGATTGGCAACAGATGTTAGCTCAGGTGCCAATCTTTAAAAAAAAAAAAAAAGAATTCAGAATCTCTCCTTCTTCCCTTCCCAAGTCTTCAGGAGCCTAACTTTATCTCAAAGGACGGACACTATATCCCTCTAACACTAGAGTAATAAGTGGTACCACTGTCTGCAGGTCATTCAGAGATCCTCTGAGAACAGTGCTCCTGGGCAGTCCTTCTCAAACGTTGCAAAGTTTATAACAGGTGATGTTAAAATGCAGATTCTGACCCAGTTGCTCTGGGAATGTATAGATTTTATTAGATTTTCCTGTATCTGTCTGGGAAGGAATTTCACAAAAAGTATGGGCAATGTTCAAAAACTAAAAAAAAAATAATAGTGAGGCATTTTATTCTAGACCTTGTTTCTCAACTTCGGCTATACATTAGAAAGACCTTAAAAATACAATACGAGACCAGCTGTCATCTCTCTCCCCTGCCCCCATCAATTAATCAGAAATTGGGGGCTTCTCCAGAGTGATTCCAGCCTAAAGCCTGTGTGCGGCCACTCTTGTCCCAGTCTACCAGCTCCACTCAAAGTCTGCTCCAAGTCCTGGAGCAGTCCGCAAACTGTTACTGGTCTGTGACGAGAGAAGTACCGAAACTGAGAGTAAGTGCTTTTACAGCAATATGACAAGTTAGGTTTATGTCCAATGAATCTAATAAAAATAAATGGACCAGTGTTTTTAAAAAAGAACACTTGATTTACAAAGAAACATTTTGACACCCCCTCAAGGAAGGCTTCCGAATAATTCAACATCCCCATCTGGTATGGAGGTCATGGTGGGCCCCTTCTTTAAGCTGTTACCTCTGAAAGCTGAAACATTCAGGTCAGTGACTAATGGCAGGGCCAGACCATTCAGAGACCTAGGTACAACAGGGTTAATGAGCAGGAATGGGGTAGGTGGGGTCACAAACCAGGAACACATGTCATCCAAGTTAGATAGCTTTTTTTTCCCATTTAATTGCCCTGAAAACACACACGCTCTCACATAACACGGAAGGTGAGAGCTGAATGAAGTTTTCTGGGTAATGGCTCGAAATGTTTTCCTTATGAGAAGTGGTGTTGAGTTACAGCGTGCAGACTGAGAACTGGGAGGAGAGAAGAAGCAGCCCCAGCCCGGCCCCCACCTTTTCTTGGGCTTGTAGGAAGGTGGACATGGGCTCACGGAGACAAGACGAGTGACATGTTGAACTGTCTGGTGGCTGCAATCGACTGCTCCCAGAGTGACCTAAGGGCAGTGTTTAGCAGGGTTTAGCCAGGGGCCAGCTGAGCAGGCACAGATGCTGTGCTATGAAATGCCACGCAGGCAGAGACTGACAAGCGGTAGGAGCTGAGCTTTCCCCTTGGACTGCTGTTTCCTGCTGTGTTCAGGGGGGGGGGGGGCGCTTTCTGGCAACTCTGCTGCTGCTGCTGCTGCTGCTGCTACTACTTCAGCTCCCTCTCCACTCAAGGTAAGCAGGCTCAAAGGGAGGGCAGGCTGCAAGGAAGCCTTTGTACCATGAACAAGATCCGAAAGTTTTTCCGAGGAAGTGGGCGAGTCCTGGCATTTATATTTGTAGCTTCTGTCATCTGGCTGCTCTTTGACATGGCAGCTCTCCGCCTCTCATTCAGTGAGATCAACACTCGGGTCCTGAAGGAAGACATCGTCAGGAGGGAGCGGGTAGGATTCAGAGTTAAGCCAGACCAAATGAAGATCATTTACAGCAGCATAAAAGAGATGAAGCCCTCACTGAGGGGACACGGGAAGGGTGTATGGGGCAAAGAGAACTTTAGAAAGACTGAGGAGAGTATGCTCAAGGTTAAGGATAATTTGGACCAAGCTGAGAGGGAAAGAAAAATGCAGAACACCCCAGGGAGGGGCAAAGTTGTGCCTTTGTGGCATCCTGCACGTCTGCAGAGCTTCCCAGTGACTTCTAGCAAGCAGAAGACAGAGGGACGAGACATCAAACCTGAAGCTTCCTCTCACCACATGATGCCAAAGCAAACAACAGCTCAGGAGGCTCAGAAAACCCCATTCATAGCACCAAGAGGAACTCCATTGGCCCAAATATCTGTACACACAGGACCTGTGGGTATACACCAGGAAGCCCTGAAGAGTCATAGTCTCAGCAGTGACACATCAAAACAAGTAGCTGAAAGGAACCTGAAGGTGACCATTAGTCTTAATACTGACAGTTCAAAGCAGCAATCACAGGCAGTAGCAAAGGAGAGGACACACCCTGCCAGCCCACCAGTGCCAAAATCTGGGGAAGCCATAGCCTTAAATAAAACTGAGACTCAGAGTAAAGAACTAAATGCTAATAAACAGAAAGCCAGTAAGGCCCCTTCCTTTTCCAAGCTCAATGCCAATTCAAATCACTTAAAGAAGCAATCTATTAATGAGACACAGTTGGGAGGCTTGCCAAAGGCTGATGGAGCCCAAGTGGCTGGTGGGAAGAAATTCAATTTCTCTGAAAGCCATGTTGTGATTGTAACCAAGGAGGAGGAGCTAAAGACAGACACCAAAGAGATCCCCAATCCTAAAGACAAAACTATATTTTCTCGAGTATTGGGTGAGAGCCAAGGAAAATATATCTCCAGGAATAGAAGGGAGACGTCTTTTTCTTCACTTGCTCTACAGAGAGCAACAGTGTCTCAAACCAATCAAGCCTTAGCTGGGGGGCTAGATCTGGCAAGAACCAACTTAACTGCCAAGGTCCAGCCTGCAGAACTCAACCAAAGTCATATAAAAGTCTTTTTACCTGAAGACAGTGGAATGCACCATGTGTTAAAAATTGATGTGACACTTTCCCCAAGGGACCCCAAAGCTCCAGGTCAGTTTGGACGTCCTGTGGTTGTTCCCCATGGAAAAGAAAAGGAGGCAGAAAGAAGATGGAAAGAAGGAAATTTCAATGTCTACCTCAGTGATTTGATTCCAGTGGACAGAGCCATTGAAGACACAAGACCTGCCGGGTAAGCTGCATTTCTCTTCTCTTTCTTCAACCTCAAGTATTTTGGCTCTTATTTAGAGAAAATTTATTTCTAGATAACTCTGTGTGATTTTTGGCCACCTAGAGAATTAAAACAACATTAATTATTAGACACAGTCCAAATAATCTACCATCCACACAGAGAAAAGTTCTGATATCAGTTTCCCCACTATGTTCTCTTTCTGAACTTTCTACACTTATTTCTCTGAGACTTTGGCTCTCATTCTTGTGAGCTCATGTTTCATTTCCTTTCCTCTATGGAAAACCTTTTAAAATGATTAGATGAACTCCATTCCTAATAAGATGTATATGAAAGGTAGAGCTTAAAATGTAATTCCATTAAAACAGTGACAAAGAAGTGAATTCCCAACTTTGAAACTTTTCATTATTAACAAGTTTGTCAGGACTAAATTTGGGAAAGGAGGGAGAGAAAGAGCCTTCTAGGCCTCCCTGGAATCACATCTTAACCAGCAGAATTCTGCCTAATCAAGAGTAATGATCACCACACTAGCAAGTGAAGAAGTGAATTTACCCTCTAAAACTTAATAATCTTTGTAGATGGAGATAGTAGACATTTCAGGAGTTCAGTTATACAGGAATAATAATGTTGGGAAAATTCAATCAGCTAATAACTGGAAAACACCTGCAGGATGTACAAGAGTATAATAATAACCACTTAAATTTCTAGAGTTTCACCATTTACAAAGAACCTGCATACACATCACATGAACTTTATGAGTCCCAGAAAGGAGGTTGCAGATGCTATAGGTTCAAATTAACAGATGAGGGTACTCCGAAATTTTGTCACTTTCCCAAGGTAACACAGCTCTAAAGTTGCCCTATGAGCCTTCATGAGCCAGTTCTTCAAGGAACTAAATTCCTATAACTACATCACTGGAAAGTAGATCAAGTCACATATATTTGATCTGATTCAAATACAGCCGAGTTCTCTGCTCTTTTTGGCCCTATCATAAATGACGGTACTTTGCAGCCATATGTTCACTATCCATTAATTGATAGTACAGCTCCATGTACACCTTGATATTCTATTCCTGAGCCAAACAATGTTTGCCTAAAAGTTGGAATTAGAGAATGTCAAAATTCAGACATAGCACATTATGTAAACCACGGCCTTGTTAGGCCTCTGTAGAAAACTCTTCTTTGTGCTCCAGGTAGTCAACGTTACTAGGAGGAAGGCAGATAGAGATGTGCCTGGATTCATATTAGTAAGAGGAGTCTCTCCATTGTGATGTCAACTATGAGAAGGCCACTTTCGGCTCTGTTAGCCATTGGCAGATGGCTATCAGCCGTGTGCTAATAGCCTGCTTAGATCAAGCACTATGCCATTCACGTCCCTCAACGTGGTAAAACTCACAACCTTGAGGAGAACACAAATGTACCCACAATAAAGATGAAGAAACTGAGGCCCTGGAAAGTTACATTGTCTGTGGTCATAAGACAAATGATTAAAATCTATGTTCAAAATTATGCTGTGCTGTTTATCTCCCATCTCTTGCTGATTATCCTCAAAAAAAAGATCCTAAAACTTATGTTGGGCCAACTCAGATCTGAGATCCTGTGTATCACATATATTTATGTATAATTTATATATATACATATGTATGTATACATATATATGCCAGCTTTGAACACAGAATGCCAGAGAATGAAGTAGTAGTTAAAGTAGCCTTATTTTAACATCTCTTTAGTGACCCGGCAGACTGCTACAGAGTCTGGGGAAGAATCAGCCACTGCACAGAAGCACAGGCTGCACTTCCAAACCAGAGAAAGAGCAATTGTGTGAGGGCCAAAAGCAAGCAACAATGATATTATCGTCCATGTGATTTATTGAAGGGCTGATGGCTCTCAGCGCTTGTTAGTCTCCGAAATTTGGTCTGTGGAAGTTCAGGGTTGCGGCCCAGGAAAGTCACAGTCAGGCTCTGTCTTCTGAAGGAGACTGTCCCGACCGTAGGAGAAAATGACACGTGTGCTTGAGGATGAGTCAGACAGCATGCGGCCAGGCCCCTCCCTCTTATCACACAATCCACCTTGGTTAAATATAGACACTCCTGCGAGCTGCCTACCTAATGCCCTACTCCACCAACAGTTTAGCCACCAGGGGTCCTATGGACAGACCCCCTGAACTATTAACAGCCCTTTTGGGCCACTCTGCTTTGAAAGGGGATACATTATTTTTCTTTTCTTTTACTCAAATACTCTGACTACAAATATGTGCAAATTATATATTCCCATGGATAAAGATTGGAAGAAAACGCAAATGAAAAACATGTGATTCATCAGGTTGGCAGGAACTGAAGTTTCTTTACTTTGATTTTGTTTTCAATCTTACTCAAAAAAGCACATGAGATGGCTTATAAGAATACACACAATAAGATTTTTCAAGATAATAAATTTTAAAGGTCAGCATAAGGGGAAAGTTGTTATGGAATCTAATAAGAAAATGTGTGTATGAGAGAGAGAAAGAGAGAAAGAAAGAAAGAAAAAGAAAGACAGGAGGGCTGGGCTCCAAAACTTAGCTACAGTAGCAGCCCCCTCAATCCTTTAACTTTTAAGAGTTCTGGGGGATATCTCTCTTACGGCTCTTTACATTTCCCAAAAATCCACCATTATGGATTGATTAACACAGTAACTGACCTATCGTAACTGCCTAATGAATATACAGTGAACTGAAAAAAGGGTAAAAACCACTGATGGGCTAGTATGTTCCTTTAAATTCAATTCTTCTCAGTGAAGATAGTAACTAGAACTAGTTTTCACTTGACTGATAGGCTTGCGTGAGGCTGGCATTGGGGAGGAGAGGCGATGAGCAGAGTTCCCGGAACTACTTCACCTGCTCTAGATCTAAAATCAGACTCTCTTTTCCAAAACTGCTCTTCCCTTCTCTTCTCCTGAGTCCCCAAGAACCCTTTCTAAGATGCTGAGATGCAATCAGGGCCTTTCCCACAAGCACAAGAACTCCTTTCTGTCAGCAGCATTGTTTTCACTGTCCTATTCGGTGCCACCCAGGTTTCTGCCCCTTGCAGTGTAGCTATAGCTTTCTGCATGTGCCACTCTCTCCAATGCAGGCCTTCGGCGTTAGGAAAGTTAGCCTCATTACCCTTTTCCGCACATCATGTTCACCACCATCCACCGAGGTTTTTCGGTGCACTAGTTCCTTCCCCAGCCTCCCGCCATTTTCACCTTGCAGGATCCTCACCATTTTCTCCCACACATCTGAATCCGACTCTGCTCAAAACCCAGCTGTAGCTTACCTCCACCTGGACCGGGATTTGACTGTGACCTCTAAATTCCAAGTACCCTTCATGCACCCGTGGTTACTGAAACAAGCCTTGTCATGTGCTTTTCACCGACTAGAGCCTTGAGAATCTGCTTTGCCTTCTCAGTGAGGTTATAAGCCTCTGAAGGAAACTCTGTCTTTTACTTTATTTTATACCCCTTAGCACTGAGCACAGCGCTGTACACTCAAAAGGTACATACAGGTTTACACAACATGGTTTTAAAAGAGATGTTTCTCTGAAATGACTTTTGAAAATCGATACTATGTTTAAAAAATAAATGAGAGGTGACTATTTTAAATGAGGCCTGCAATGAGTCTTTTTATCAGTTAATATTGACTTCCTAATTTTTCATTTTGAATATGTTAGTATCTGGTTTAAGGTAAATACATTCTGTTCTAACAGTATAATCTCTTCATTAATTTGTATTTATTCTTTAGTTCATATTTTTGTTGTTGTTTGTTTTTAATTTTAATGTTTTGACTTTCCAGGCAGGAAAATCTTTTTATTTTACATTCAAGAATGTATTATGTCAGAAAGTAAAATACAGTTTCATTTTTGCCTAGAACTTTTACCTATAAAATATGCTTCAAATAAAATACTTTTTTGACAGTCATTTTAAAGTTCCATATTTAATCTTTTCTTTATAAAAAGCTAACCCTTGCAGTTCTTGCTCTTAACTATGAAGTTTGTTTCAGTCAGCAATAATCAATACACACATAGGTTTTGCTAAATACACATAAAACACGCATAGGTTTTCCTAAAACATGGTCCTATCTACTGAAAATGCAGGGCAATTCTACTTAGAGACGTCTGTCTCTAGGCCCGCACCTATAGTTAAGTGAAACTCCAAAAATAAGTTTATTTTAAGAGTGTACTTCCTGAATCTGTATTTAGAGAAAAATGACTCAAAGAAATTTTTGCTGCCAGCCTTTAGTTTATAAAGTACAAAAAGAATTACAGCACGCTCTACTACACTGCTGCGTCGTCATGATGTTCCTAGATGGCTTAATTTAATGCTTTGCTTTTCCTACAAAACTCTGGCAAGTCCCTCAATAAAGTAACTAAAACTGGTCTTTATTCTCCTAGCCCGGAGCTGGGAGTGTCAACCAATCATTTGATTCCTTCCTACACAGCTAACGAGAGTTTTCTTTTGGCACATATGAAAAGCAAAAGATAGCACCATGCATTTGCCACAAACCAGACTAAATTACTGAGGGGAAGGGAAAAACCTTTCTGGAACCTGAATTTCCATCCCTCCCCTCCCCTCCCAATCCTAGTGAGGATAAAAACCGTAACTAATGAACTGCTGGGGGAGGAGCAGCTAGGAGAGAGAAAATAAATTGACCACACATCCTTCCAAACTTCAGGCTTCTACAAGTTTATCAGGCTGTGAGAAAAGAGAAACTTTAAAGTCAAATGAAGTTCAGCTTTTTTCATTTTTACATGGGATGAATATTTTAATTGATGAAATGCGACTGCTTTTGAGTTTAATCGTGATCGGTGAATGTCAGCTAAAATTGGCTGAAATAGCTATGAGACCTCCCTGAGAAACCAAACAGGGGCAGAGAAACAAAAATCTCACAAGATGGATTTAAAAGGATCATTTCCAGCTTTTACCTCTATGGGTGTACACACTGCAATGGTGCTTTTGAACTGTGTGTGTGGGTCCACATTCAGGCATATT